AGAGCCCTCCGGCTCCCTGCCTCCACCCCGAGATGCTTCCTTCTCCCGAGGGCTGCTTCCTGGAGGGGCTTGCTCTGGTGTGGAGGCAGCCGAGCCTTTGCACCAGCCTCCTCTGATCCTTCACTCCACCTCCAAAGAAGGTGCTCTGGTTTGACCCGTTTCTCTAGGAACACAAAGGAGACCTCTGCAGCAGCCAGGTGACAGGGGAAAGGAGCAAGTGACATCCCTCCACCCCAGGCGGCACCACGTCCTCCCTGACTCCACGGTACCCTCCGTGCCAGGCGTGGTCCTAAGCCATTCACGTGAAGCACCAGCCCCGCGCTCCTCCCCGTGGCCTCTTGAGGTGGGACCACCGTTCTGGAGCAAGGGGGTCTTCCCACATCCCACAGCTAGGAGTTGCCATGGCCACTCTGAACTCGGCAGTGTGGACCTTGAACTCAGGTTCCTTTTTTTAGGAAGCAGGTTCCAGAAGTTTCTGGAGTCCCGGAGGCCTTTGTCAATGGTCCTGGCTGTCTGGATGGTATTCTGAAGGCCTTCAGCTCGCCATGACCCTCCTAGGTCTCGGCCCAGTGGACTCAGCTTCTGACTCAGTGCAGTCACGGATCTCGCCAGCCCCCTCTGCTCCTGCTCTCTGGGGTGTCCCCAGCCTCCCTTGGAAAGACCACTCAATGCACAGTCCACACACACCCAAGCCCTTTGGGAGCTCCTGGCCCCATCTGCTGCCTTTGGGAATCCAGGACTTAAGGAAGAGGCCAGAGACCGTCAGTGTGTCACCAGATCCCTCCAGGAATCTGCTGCTGGGTCCCCTGCCCTGGGCACCATCCTTCTGTCTTCTGACTTGGCCACTCTTCCCAAGGGAAGCAAAATATTCCCTTTGAGACTGATCTTAGCTACATGGGGGTACAGGGGGAAAAAAAGAACCATTTAAACCTGTCAAGGACCCCTGTAGGGAGCATCTCCCAGCCTCTGAAATTTGGATTCAAGCTGGTATCATTTCCGTATGTTCATGTTGGAACACAGAAAGGTGGACATGATTGAAATTTGCATTTAAATGGAAATGGTTAAAGGTAAAGGCCCAATGTTGAGGGAAATGAGAGTATCCATTTTTCTAAGAGGGAGGCCGCGTGTTATCGTATACCATTAAGGTGTCACAGAGCCGAAATGTGTTTAGAAATATTAGACACTGCTACTGCCTGTGGAGTGGCGAGCGGCATTTGGAAACGACTCTGCACTGCGAATGAATCTCTGCGAGCCCTGCATGAGGCACGGCGGCTGAGGATGCGGCCCGCCACCGTCACCCAAGTCCAGCCTTGCGCGCTTAACGCCGGGCGTCTGGTAGACAGCTTTCTGTTCTGGGTCGTAATCAATGCCAGAACTAGTTGATCAGCACACAGCTTGAAAACACTCATCGTCTTCCATGAGACCCAGATACTCAGCTCTGGAAATGTGTGGCTGGTTCCTCACCAAGAGTCTCACATGAACTTAATCCACATTGCATGCACAGATAATGGGCGGATTATAATAAAGCAAAAGAAAGCAGAGCTGAAGAATGTAGCAAGGCTGCTTGCCCCGGTCAGTCTGGATAAGCGTACCCACCATGCTGTGGGGACCAGACCCCCAGACCCCCAATGTCATAGCATCTAAGCTTTATCCCATGCTCCACGTCTGCATGGGCCTCACCTCCTCTCTCCAAGACTCAGATGGTCTTTCTGTCAGTGCTTGTCACTGAAGCAGCAGGAGACAGAGAGCTGGAGGGCCCCTGCACGCAGATAAGCACTTCAGCTGGAGCGACTCAAGTTTCTTCACAACTCATTGGCCATGACTAACACAGTTTCTGAAACCCAAAGCTGCACAATCAGGAGTATCTGGAGAACAGCTCTTCAGCCCCACATCATGTCCCTGTCATTGCCGACAGGGAAGGAGGGACCGAGTAGTGGCCTGTGTGGGTGGAAAGGGAGGTCAGCGCTCCCCCAGAAGGAGAGCAAAAGCCAGTGTTACCTAGGAACTCGCCCTGGGTGCCCTCTGGGGCCTTTCGGGTGCTGTAACAGAAGGCCACAGGCTGGCTGGCTTACAAATGCCATAGGTTTATTCCTCACATTCTAGGAAGCTGGGAAGTCCAAGTGTAAGGTGTTAGCTAATCCAGTGTTTGGGGAGGCACTTCCTGATTTGTAGATGGCCTGCTGGTGCACCTCACGTGGTGGGAAAGGGCAACCCAGCTCTGCGGGGTCTCTGGTATAAGTGCACTAATCCTGTTTATGAAGGCTCCTCCCCTGTGACCCAACCCCCTGTCCAAGGTCCCAGCTCTGAAGCCAAAATCTTGGGGGGTTAGAATTTCAACATAGAACTTTTGCGGGGAATGAAAACATTTGCTTTATTGCAAGAAGGAAGGACTCGGGTAGAGAAACCAAAACAGCCCCAACAAAGAATGTAAAGCAAAAATAATTTAAAAACTGAGTCCAAGTCAACACAGAAGCACTGAAGCCAAGAGAAAGATGATAGGTGGGGAATCAGTTCCATAGCTGGGAGGGGCAAATGTGCAGCCAGAGCTGCACAAAACTCCTGCAGGGGGAGTTTCCAGCTCATGAGGAGGTCGATCCTGGCTAGTCAGAGTCGGCCCTCGAAGGAGCTGGACAGACCCAGGCAGCAGTCCACCAGACCAGGCTCTCTGGGGCATCGGCTGCATTCTGGGGAGAGTGTTTTTTTGTTTTATTTTTTGTGGGGTTTTTTTGGTTCAAACAAACATAATGGGACATAAACAGAACACAACTGAGATCATATCACATACCCTGAGTGTCTGGTCTGTCTCCTGGGCATCACCCACAATTTGCAAAGTGAATTATTATTCTTTCATTGATTCAGAAAATATATTTCATCTCTCTCTTCCCAGAACTTAGAACAGTGGCTAATATATACTCAGCATTTAATAAATGTGTGGGAAGGGTTTAAAGAGTGACTCCCCATCAAGGGTGCAGACATGCTGTACCCAAAGGAAAACAGAGTTGGAGGGTGTGGCCAGCGTTGCTGCTCCTCATCAGTCTGGGTAAGGGGGCCATTATGCTGTGATGACAAGAATCCCCCATCGGCCATAAGTTAGCTCACTGAACCTCACTGCTTCCTCGTGTCCCAAGTCTGCAGAGGGATTGAGGCAGGATAGAAATGAAGTTGATGCCACATCATCCCAGCTCTCCAGGAGCTTATGTGTGGACCCACATCACCATGAGGCCAATTCCAATAGGATTAGCGTTGACACAGTGCTGAGATAATGGTGCGATCTACACCTCACACTCTTCTAACTGCATTACCTGCGTCCTGTATTTCATTTGCAACAGAGCCACACAAGGTAAAGATGGGACATCTACCCACTGTATACAGGAAGAAAAGCAGGTCATCTGTACTTCAGTGGCTCACAGGCCCAGCGAGTGCAGATGCTGGGCTTTAAATCAAAGCCAGCTCCAGGCCCTGGCCGTGAGAAAACACCACAGAGGTGTGGAGTGGGAGGCCTTGACCCTGGAGAATGAGAAATGGTGCTTTACCTTGAAAAGCTCTCAGTGGAAGTTTTATTTTACCTGGGCTGGAAGGGCCAGCAGGTGTGCCTCAGGAGGGAAGGGGCAGTACTTGGAGATGGTTTTCTAGAGGGCCTGGAATCCTTTGATAGCAGACTATGGGTCTGTTGGGGCAAAGACCATGTCTGAGCATCTGTGTCCATTTCCAATACGGTTCATGGTTAGAAAGCAAACGTGTTTCATTAGACCTAAGATGCTTTCATTTATAAGATATACCAATGTCTTCTATGCAACTAAGAAAAAAAAATAAGAAAAACAAACATTGAAGATAACTCCAGGATAGTGCTTTCTGATTACTTAGAGATTCCATGTTACAATTATAGGAAGAAATCCTTTAGGTTTAAGTAGACATAGGTTTTCAACATTTGTTACTCATACAATGAAAGAAAAGCCCTCTACTGTATTCTCGAAACTTGTTCAGAAATTGCAACTTTCCTGAATCACCGTTTCAGTTAGAATCTGTTTTTTCCATATAGTATTCATGCCCCACTATCCTGAGGGTGGATGATATGGTATTTCTTACAAAAATCTGCTAAAGAATGAAGTTTCCCAGTGCTGGGCAGTGAAGCTGGCTTTGCAGGGCTGGTCCATGTGACTCCTGTCTGGGATGCTGCTCAACACAGCTGGTTCACCACTTCTCACAGCAGGTGGGTCCTCCAGATTGGGAAAGGTGCTGTGCCATTGTGTCCACCTCCTCTGCTGCTCCAGAAGTGGCGGTGCTGGCCCTTCCATGTGCACAAACCTGCAGGTTGTGGCTGTTGTGTCCTGAGTACCCCTTGGCACAGAGTGATGGGAACCACCCTGGGACCATGCGGTTGATTTTAAGGTGCATCTCAATTATAGAGAAGCTAAAGTTTGCTTCTTAAAATGCTTGATAAGTTGGAAGTAGCCACTGACACATCTCTGTGCCATACATCTCGTGAGACTTTGAAAGATACTGAATATCAGGAGAAGAAAGTGGGAACATTATCCTACAGATCCCAGGATCCCTGAAGTTTATGGAATGGAGGTACTGGATTGTGCAGGTGTAGAACCTAATCTTAATTTTAAAAATCAAGAAGGACAAATCCCCCAAATCAAAGAATCCCATCGCATGGAACAATTGGAGACTTTCGCATGAAATGAGGTGGAGTTTAGCTGAGCTGAAATTATGGATCTTTCCTGAGGAGAGGGACACCTTGGGACTGGCTGCACACCCAGGGTGCTAGTGGGAGTGAGCCACAGGCTGTCCCCCTCGGAGGGAGGGTCAGGTGACATCCTCCCTTGAGGTCCCCTGGAGCCTGCTGCAGTCATTTGGTGAGCAGAGCTGGATGGTGCTTAAGTTTCCAGAGCATTGGTGGCAGGGATGACGTGGGGACTCTTGGGAGAGCTCAGGGGAGTCTAAGAAGTCTTCAGGACTTCTCAAGGCTCTTATGATGTCACAGACTTTATGCTTATGGACAGAGTGAGCAGATCCTGATGCAGAGAACAGCTCCAGAAGAATCCAAGTTGGAACAGGGCTGTTTCAAACAATGTAGGTTTTGGTCGCTCCCCAGGTGACCAGGTGAGGAGAATCAGGTCGATCTATGGTTTACGGTAGAATTAGCCAGCATTTAGTGGGCTCCAGTTGTGGGTCATAAATTCATTTACTCCTCCACCTTGTCTCCTGAAACAGGCACCATTATCATTCTGTTTGTGGAAACCGAGGCTCCTGGACCTTGGGGATGCTGTTTCTGACCAACAGTGAACTTGCTCTGAGCTACTTGACCTGAGTCCCAGAGGAGGACCTGGACACAGCACTGTGCAGATTTCCCTCATGGCCCCCAGCCCTGGTTCTTTGTGGAGGCCCTGGCCACCAGCTCCCTCCCCCGCCTGGCACATCACTGAACTTCCTCGGGCCTCAGTTTCTTTGTTGGCAGGCGACAGTGGAAACAAGACCCACCAGGCTCCACCTGTGTGAGGAGAAAGTGTGGAGAAGAGTGTGTGACCGCACATGGCTTAGTGAGTGCCCGGTAAGTGTGAGCTCAGGAAGACCACTGCCCACCATAGGCCTGTTCCCCGGCCTTCCAACAACTGCTCCAGCTAAGTGGCTGCCTCTTGGGATCTGAAGAGTCCATCTCCTGACCCAGACCATGCGTCTGCAAAGCCACGTCTTTAGCTGTGCCCCTGATGGGGGTCCTGAGCTCCCATCTTTATCCATCTTGGCCAGCTACTGCCAACAGGCTTCATGGGCCCAGGCTGCCTGTGTACCGTCTCTGAGTTAAGAGTCGTTTCTACATGGAATAATGATTGGGAAAAAGTCAAAAAAGAGTAATATTTTTGGACATGTGTAAAATATACAAAATTTTAATATCCAGGTCCATAAATAAAGTATATTGGGACATAAGCATGATCATCGTTTGCATATCTACCGCTGCTTCTGCGACATAGTGGCAGACAGGAGCGTGGCAGCAGAGGCCCCAAGGCCACGGAGCCTGAAATAGTTACTGTCTAGTCCTTCACAGAGAACAGGCAGTGACTTTTGTCTTGGTCACCTGTAGCAAAGCCAGCGTGAGGACCGACACCTCCTGGCGTTGACCTAGAAAGTGGCCCTAATGCCTCCCCCTCGGGTGCTTCTCATGACCCCCAGCACAGGCAGATGGAGACAGCCCTCAGGTACCTCCTTGCTCCCCTAAACCCAACCAATGCTTCACAGTGGCCTTAACTTTACTTTGGAAACTAGTTTGTATACCCTCGTATTTAGTTGTATTGATTAATTGTATTATTGATTGATCCTTTGCTCAGTGCTTGATTTGGACTATGATGTAGCCTGGAGTCTGGGTCTCGGCTGTTGGGTTCTACAAAACGGTTTCAATAGAAATGACTTCCAGGGGGAACTCTGAGCACCGGCTTCTCTCTCGCTCCCTCTCTGTCTTCACCTTGATTGAAATAAACCCCATCCTAAACTCAGGGTCCCGAAAAGGGTTTTGATAAGGAGATACTCAGATGATTCCTAACTCCTCTTTCTGGCTTTCCCACTCTGCTCCTAGCCATGATTTCCTAAGCACTGGGGGTGAGTTTGCAGATATTCAAATAGGGTTCAGTGAAAAGCATCCACTCTGCAAGGAAGAATTCCTCAGGGTGATACATCCACGGTGCCCCCACCTGAGTCAGTTTCTCATCTCCTTCAAAACAGTGCTCCTGTCATTTCTCCCCCACATGAAAAGTAGCCCGTATCACATGTAGAACATGCCCATTAAAGATTTTTGAAACGTCCACCTACTGAAATTGTGGGTTTTTTTTTTTAACTTGGAAAGACTTCAATGGGTGCACTGCTGGGGACCAAAAATAAGATTTTAATTGAAATACAGATAAGATAGGAGCCTTTAATTTACCTTCTCCCTCAGCACCAGGGCTTTCTTGACTGCATCTGATAGATGGCTTTTCCCCCCTTCTTTCTTTTGCAGCCTAGGCTACAGAAAAATTATCTTATCTCCAGATGAAATATTTTAGGGATTTGGGGATTTTGTGTGCCTCAGGACAAAGGACAGTATTTGTGAAAAGATCACTGTCCTTTTTTTGGAGGCAAATTCCGTCCCTATTGAAATTCTGATGTTAGGAAAAGCCTGTCATGTCATTGCCATCCTGCAGGCCACACATTTTCTGTGCTCTTCTGAATGGCACAAACAGACTAGGGCAAGGGAGAGGAACACAGGTTCCCACCGCGGTCGTGCCAGGCGAGACATCCCTCCACCAACAGCATGTGTAGAGATGTGCTGCTATGAAAGGGGATTATTTTATTCTTACTGGGGCTCCCAGGGGTGATGCACTCGGGACCAGGAGATCACTGTCTCCACACTGAGAGTAAATAACACAGATTCTTCTCAGCCTCCTGAACGTGCCTGCCCAGAGCCACTGCCCTCAGGTCTGACAGAGCAGCGGAGAGCTAGGGAAGGGCACACCAAACCCCAGGGCACAGACCTCCAAGGCCAAGGATGATTGAATCACCTGGTTGTCGCAGTGATGAACATGCATCATAGAAACAGGATGAATGGGCCTTCTTCACTGTACTCCTGGCAGCAGTTCCAGCTTTTCGTTTCCACGCCGGCATCCCGTGGCTTCAACTCCACTGTATGACCAAACCAACCCATAATCATCTCCACGGAACCACTCAAGATGAGCTTTGAAATTGTCCCAGGGTACAGATCCTATGATTTGATACAATGTTGTACTTCATGATTCCATAGATGATGCAAAGTTTTTTAGTTTTAAGTTAGGTGAATGGTGCAGTCTGTCTGGGCACAATTCAGGAGCCACTTGTCAAAAGAAACTAACTTTATTTTTAGAACCACACAGGCCAAACAAAACAGCTCCTCAGGAAAAAACCCTCAGAGCCCAACTGCCACCACCGGCTTCCCACAAGCCTCTCACACAAACACAAGCCTCACCACCTCCCACAATCCTCCTGCTCTTGAGGCCAATTGGCTGGGTCGCATGGGCGGAGCCAAAGAAGTCCCCCAATGAACAGCTCCATGGTCTGAAAGGGCAGGGAAACAGCCCAATGAGCATCACCGCAGAGGAGCCAATCAGCTAGATGTTGCTGGGGCCGCTGTGAGCCAATCATCAGCCGGCAGCTGGAAGTTTCCTGGGGCCCCTTTGGCTGTGGCTCTCAACAGGCAAATAATACTTGTTGATAATGTATGTCCTGGTCTCCTCTTTCATCCCTGCTGGTCAAACAGGTCTCCCTCCTTTCATTTGGCAATTCCAACTTTCATTTCTGTGCTACTTGGTCAACTCCATGCAAGGAATCTCCAGTATCAAGAATGTCGTTGGAATCCAATAATCTTCAGGAGAGCTGGAGGAAATCGTGGTGTATGGAGAAGGTGTTAAGAGTTCAGTGTCAGATCCCAGCTGGATTTGGGTCCCAGCTCTTGGGAAGGCACAAAAACCCACCACTCTCCAAGTTCCAAAATGGCAGAATTAACCTCACCCGAGGGGTTGGAAGAGGGGTGGAAGTGACTTAGCATGATGTCAACACTTGGCATAGGTTCTGGTGCAGGTGACCCACCAAATGTGAACTCACCCTTTTTCTAATTTCCAGGGGCTGGATTGGTTGATCCAGAAATCACTTCATTCCATAGGCATCTTTCTTTGTTTACAAGCTGATCCTCCCCAGGAGGACTGGGCAGCTGGTGGCCTCTGATCTGTAAGCTCTGAGGCATAATTCAAAGGTGCTTTCTCAGACTGAGTCTCCAGCACCAGGCCAGGACTGGCACAGGACTCGTTTACACTGAGAGAAGGTGAAGGTGACCTTGATGGAAAACACTCCCGTATCCTTCCAATAAACCCAAGGAAGAGACACCCAATGGTTAGTTCTCCTATTATGCAATATATGTGCTCCCGAAAGTCACCTGCTCTGCAAAATGATACCATAAAACAACAGGGACCGTGGAGAAACATAGGCTGGATGTAACATTTAAAAAAAAAATTGTCACTGGCACATTAAAAAATAAAAGATAAGAACTAATAGAAAAGGTAAGTAGCCCAGTTAAGCACATGTTGAAGAGTTTAGAAATATATTTTAAAACCACTGGAAATATGGACCGTCAGCTAGGAAAGGCATGAAGCTTGCTTGTAGAATTAACAAGGGAAGAGCTGCAGATAGGGGTTACCATCTGCAATGGAGGGGGAGGGTGGCCTGAGATCAGAGGATGTGCTATGACATCCCCACCTGACTCCATCCAGCTGAGAGCAGCCTTCTGTTTTCACCCAGTATTTCTCACGAAGGAAACTACATATGAACAAATTCAAAATTCATGTTATCCTCAAATTGTCCCTTAAATATGTGCATCAAATGGAAAAAATATGGATTTTCAAAAGAGAGATTATAGTGTGAACAGCTGTATTTTTTAATTATTGGAGGGATTCTGTAGAGGAAAATAGTAGGGGGGGCGTCTTGGTTTCTTGGAGGCGGGGTCCTGAGGAGGGTAGATGGTAGGCAGCTCTGATCCAACAGGAAGCTCAACATGGGACACGTAGTGCTGTCTGGCCATGAACTTCTGAGGGAGGCAGTGGGCATGACATCTCAGAATAGGATCAAGAAAGAGGTGGCCCATGGGCAGAGCTCTCCAGTGTGGCTACATTCAGGATGCCCAGATCCTGAGCCCGCAGACAGCACCACACCCTATACAGACGGTTTCATCCTGCGCGTGTTTATGTATGATAAAATTCCTTTTAATAATTAGGCACAGTAAGACCTTGAGAACAATAAATCACACTAGAACAGAACAATTCTAACCCTATGCAATCGCAGACGCACCATGAATGTGGACTCTTGTTTCCTGCAGGACTCAGGACAAATGTTCATATTTTCAGAAGGTGGCTGACCATGGGTAGCTGCAACCAGGAGGAGTGGAAATACAATTATAGGCAATGATTGGGGAAGGGGATTCTCAATCAGCCTTGAAGTCCTTCCAGATTTTTAGATATGATATGTTGTGAATGTAGAAGCCAAGAATTTTCACATAAAAATTCAATATTAAGTTAATAAAATGTCTACTGTGTCCCCAAAAGGCAGAATTGTGGGTGTGTGTATGAGTGTGTGAATGCGGGTGATTATGTGCGTGTGTGTGTGTGTGTGTGTGTGTGTGTGTGTTTTGGTATAGGATGTCTAAGCATGTAAGCTATTGCTAAGTTAATATGACTTTATTGAGCAGCTACATACTGGATTAGGAAGTAACATCATATAAATGAATCCCCAGCCATCAGTGATTGGCCATAACTGAAGTCTTTTTTTCTTGAGACAATTCTAAACTGAGTATTCCTTATCAAAAGGGTGACTTTCAGATTGATATGGTTTGGATTTTGGGTGTCCCCCAAAAGTTCATGTGTGAGAACACTTGGAGGTGAAATAGATTATGGGAGGTGCAATTAGATTGTGAGGGTGGATTAGTCCACGGACCTCAATTAACTGGGTGGTGACTGTGGGCAGGTAGGGTGTGGCTGGAGGAGGTGGGCCCACTGGGGTTGTGCCTTTGGGGATTACATTTTGTCCCTGGGGAGTGGAGCTAGCCCTTCACCCTGGAGCTCTGCCTCACCTTGGGCCCAGAACTGGGGAGTCAGCTGACCAAGGACTGGACCTCTGAAATTGTGAACCAAAATGAATTTTTCCTCCTCTAAGTCGTTCTTGCCAGGCTTGTGGTCACAGGGATGAGAAGCTAAAACACAGATTTGCCCTCCTTTCCTTCAGTAAGCTGGAGGGGCAAGCATGGAGCCTTCTGCAATGACTTGGAGCAAGGCCGGTCCATAGGGCGGCTGGTCTAGCTGCATTCCCAGGACCCAGGAGGGACAGACTTGTCTGTCTTCTGCAGCCCATCTCAGCAGAACTCACCTTTCCAGTTCCATCCACCAGTG